GAACAAATGCAAGCCCAGATTCGGGATTTTGAAGAGAAAAAAGCAAAAACAATTTGGAAGATGCCAAAGGAGCCAAATGACCAGATTTCTACATTTCAAGCCCGGATTGCTATTTTTTACATTGCGCCGTATGAACAGTTTATCAGCGGCTGGCCAAGCCCAGAAAGGGGCCCGCCTGGCAGTTTGGAGCTTTTCGCTTATTTATTGCGTGGCCGCCACTGCGGGGCTCCGCCCGGCTGGATTCCCGCCTTTCTGGGCTTGGCCAACCGCTGATAAATTGTTCGTATGGCGCAATGAAAAAGTTGCACCCTAGGCTCAAAATAACACATTTTGGCTCAAACGCAGAGCATCGGCTCCAAAATCGAGATTTCCGAGCCGTCCCTGGAAGCGGCCATTCTTTACTGGAGTTTATAAAATTGACACGCTTTGGCTCAAATGTAGAGACTTGGCCACTTGGAGCTCCCACCAAGCCTTTGATCTGGCCCGGGGCAGCCCGGGAGCTAAAGCATTTCCTAAGCTTCCCAAAAGACAGAATCCTCTTTGAAGAGAGGAAGAAGACCCCCCAAGGGGGGTTCAGAGTCAGCTAGCCCGGGACAGAGCCAAGCAAGGCTCCGAGCTGGCGCGACAAAGCCAAGGAAGGCTAATCTTACGAACTATGCTAGGCAGCAACGTTTTCTAGTTTTTACTTTTGGCTTTCCGGTCGGCCCCGCACACACGCTGCTTTCGGTCGGCCAGTCGCGCTCGCCGCTCGGTCGGTGACCCGCCCCCTGACAGGACCCGCTGGGCCGCCGGAGAAGGCCGGCCTCGGCAACCGCGGCCGGCCGCTGAGGACGCCCCATCCTTCGGCAGGCGGCGGCCGGAGAAGAAGCCCCTGGGAGGCCTCAATCAAGTGAGCGGGGCGGCTGTCTCACCTTTGGTTTCACTATGGTTTTTGATATGTTTGAACTGGTCGATAAGACTTATCCAAAGACACTGTCGATCATTTCGGAACATCGACACAAATGTGATCGAGCGGAAAAAACGGAAGAGGGAGCCAGGGACGCCCAGTCAAGGTCAGAAGGCCCCGCCAAGTCACGCGTCACAGGCAAACGGCAGGCCCCGACAGACATGGCAAGTTGGGAATCAGAAGTCGGCGGAAGGTTGGGTCAAGATGTTTGAGACAGTTGTTTTAGTCGAAAACTCGTCACGTGCGCCGACGCGTTTCCAAAGCTCAAGTCAGAGCGGCAGCCCCCCAACACTGACTTGCAGGACGGCCCCCCTTGATCAATGGCCCTCTACTACGCCTGGCGCGGGGACCTCGTCTATGGCATCTACCAGCGGATGGGCGGCTCGCGCCGCCGCGACGAGGTGAGCGAGCTTTTCGACCAGGAGGCGGACATCTCGAACTACAAGCGCATGGTCGGCGGCTGGATGAAAGCGCTGCTGGAGGCAGAGGGCAAGACGCCTGGCACAATGGTCTTGGACAGCCTCAAACATCCGGTCGGGCGGATGACCTGGGACCGGTGGGTCGACAGCATGGTCACGGAGGTGGACAAGGCGGCAGAGGTGGCCGCGGCTACGGAGGAGCGGGCGGAAGCAGAGGCTCCCAAGCGCTGCCGGGCGTGGGGGAAGCGGCCGCATGAGACGGCAGAGGTCCTTGGCGAGGGCAAAGCGCAGACGGAGGACCTCCTGGAGGCGGCCTTGGCGGAGCTGGAGAAAGTAGAGGAGCGGCCGCCCGCGAACAAGGTCGCGAAGAAGGCGAAGGCGGCAGTCAAGAAGAAGCCGAGCGCGGCACCCAGCGCGAGCACGGGGGCGAGAGCGGTCAAGAAGCCGAGCGCGGCCTCCCCGGCGGACGCGCGCAAGTGCGCGGGGCGCGGAGCGCGTTGGCCGTGTATTTATAGCCAGCAGCGCCCGGGGACTTCGGGCAGCTACAACAGCCACATTAAGGGCAACAAGGCCTGCGTCTTCTGCAACGAAAAGCTGATGACGGGCGCCTGCGAGAAGGCGAAGGGCCGCGGCGCCATCTTGGGCGCCCTCAAGAAATTCCGCGCTGTCTACGCGGAGAAGCCCCACATCTACAACTCGGCTCTGCTTCGGGTCCCAGACAGCTTTCGCGAGCGTCTCCACAAGGAGGCGGCGGCGGACACCCAGCCGCGGGCGGCGCGTCGTCGGGCGAAGAAGGCGAGCTCGAGCCCGAAGACCTCCTGGGCCACGGCGCTGGCCTCTCGGAAGCGCGCCTGGCGCCCGCTAACCGCGGCAGAGGCCAAGAAGCATAAGAAGCGGGTCAAGGCCGACCGCAAACGCGTCCAGAAGAAGTTCTTCGAGGCCCACGACATCGAGGCGCCGCCCGGCGACAACATCGCGGAGAACGACGCGGGCCTCCCGGCGCCGGCCCGCTCAGAGCAGGGCCGTTTCGTGGAGCTCTGGGCAAAATTCGGTTCCTGGGGCATCTGCAAGGGCTGCCGCTCGCTGCAGCCGCGGCGGCTGGAGCCGATCGACTGCCGCAGAGTGGCCAAGCCGGAGATCGCGCCGCGGGCCTGCAAGGCGTGCCAGAACAGCAAGGTTGCCATCCCAACCTTCGAGGAGATGCCGCAGCCGCTCCGGGCGCTTTCCAAGGCAGTCGTTCAGGCGCTCCGGCCTCTAGACATCGACGCAGGCCCCTACCAGAGGGCGGCCTACGGCTACCGGGTCCACACCGCCATGATCCGGCTGGCGTGGGCAACCGAGAGCGTCCTGGAAAAGATCCGAGAGCTGCCGCGGGACGAGAGGAGGGCCGCCCGAGCAGCCTACGACTTCCTGATGGATTCCGAGGAGTCCGCCTACAGAGACTTTGTTCAGCGACACGAGAAATTCCTGCGGCGGGAAGGCGAGGACGCGCCGGAGCAGCGGCGCAAGCGGCCGCTGCAGTTCCTGGAGACGTCCGGCCTGGAGAACGCGCTCTGGCCCAACCTCTATTGGGCCGAAGCAATGTGCGAGACAGCCATCCGCGCCAGCGATGTGCGCCGTCAGCGGCGCCGCAGCGCGGCCGACCCGGCCCAGGAAGTCGGCGGGCCGCAGCCGGAAGGGCGGCGCCACCCGCGCGCTTGGCACCCAGCCGAAAGCAGCGGCTCGGAGGCAGAGGAGGGCGGCGAACACAGCGGTCGCCAGAGCATCAAGAAGTCCTTCATGAAGAAGGTCCTGGGCCCCATCGCCGGCTACGCGGAGGACTTCGAATTGCTCCAGTTTGTCTATGATTTGAGTCTGTGGAGTCGCATCGGCGGGGGCAAGAACGCGTGCAAGCACATCCCCCTCCGGCTCGTCTTGAAGGGCGAGACGTTCTCGCCGCTGTATTTCAAGACGCGGCACGCAGCGCTCATCGACCTGCAGCGACAATGTGGACACCCGCAGATCTTCAACTTGGATGACCGTTTGCGTTTGCAAGTGTTTGGCCGACATGGCTGATTTGCGTCAGGTGCGATAAGCTGCGCAAACTAGGGCGTAAGTTGCACAACGCGTAACGTAACTGATCTAAAGCGTGCGTAAACCAACCAACCTTGCTTGCGTGCAATAGGCGGTTTACTAACATTTGACCCGAATTTACTATGTGCGACAACTGGCTGTTCTGTTTGGGTTCAGTTTGCAAATTATGTTTCTAAACAGGCTAAACTGAGCGGTTGCGTTTGGGCATTATAGCTAAACCAGTTTGGCTGGGTTGCTATCCTAGTTGTAACATGGGTAAATTGTTTTTTTCTCGACCTTCATGGCGGCCGAAATTGGAGGACGCCCGGCCAAAACACGATATAAGTGAATTGCGCGGTAGGCCAAAAACGAGCGCGCGTATTGCAGCAGAGCGCCAAGTTGCCTCCGAGATTCGTTTTTTTTCTACAGCAAGCCGACGGTTGGTTGATGTTGAGTCACGCGTGCGTGTTGAACATATGTAGGAAACATGTATTTTTGCACTTGAGCATGTGATTGCAGCGTTGCGCTGGCCAGCGCCGTTGGGATGGCGCGTGCGAACATAAGCCCATGCATGGGCGGGAGCTTCCTCATGGTTGATTTTGGGGCCATGTGAACTTGGTGCGTTTGTTTTAAAAGGCCTTGCTCGAGGCCTTGCGCGCCACGCTTGCAGTTGGTAACCGGCATTGCCATGTGCGGTTTGCAACTGAGACTTTGACGTGTCCCGGGTGCTGCCTGATATAGGGCTGCGTGCATGTTTGTTGTTGGTGCCATTTTTTTACAACATGTGCCGATTTTTTTTACATCATGTCTTGGCAAAACCGCTTGTTTTACCGGCTGGACCGAAACTCTGACTGCGAGAACAACATGGTCAAACCCATTAGGCTCACGGCAATTTTTCGAAACAAACACAATGAACAGCGAAAACTAAACAAGCTTGCAAAGCGGCACGCACGCAGCAGCCTGCATGCATGGCGTTGTTGGATTTGCATGGAACTCACACATGGCCTAAGAAGTTGAACTGTTATTCTGCTGGTTTCCGGAGGATGGGCGTCAAACAACAAAAGTTACAACCTTTTGCAAAGCCTTGTGTGTATGGGATGCAGGCGGGTGTGCTGCTGTCTGCAATTGTGCTTAGCCAGGTTTGCAACGTGTCAGATTTGGCAAGTCAGTCATGTCTAAGGCAGTTTGGCAGGTGTGCGGCTTACGTTTTCAGGTGTGCTGTATACTGTCCAAGACTTAGACCGTCAGCGCTCAACTTGCCAACGGCTGTGTTGGCTAGGGTTGCTATGTGTGCGATCTGGTTGTGATTGCTTCAATCTGCAGGCCGGATATCTCGATAAACCCAACTATTATATGCAGGGTGGAGGCCGGGCTGTCGTGCGTTACCTGCAGTCTTGCATGCCTTATGAGCACATGTGAAACCTGAGATGTCATGGTACGTGCAAAGCAGGGCAGATCGGAACGCTCGCTTATATAGCAACTTAGCAGGGCTGTCAAGCTCGCATGCACGCGTACAAGTGACTCGCTTTGTTTTTTGCAAAGTGTTGTGCTCAAGAGTGAGAATTCTGGAAGCTCTGGAAGACATGTCGTTGAGCAATGCTGCAAGAGAGGAGATTGAGGCCGCCGTGCGGCATGCGGAAGAGACTGGGCAGGTAGTTCAGGCCCACCATCAGTTGCTTGCAGCGTTGAAGAGACACGGCTTGATCAGAGAGGGCGTGCAGCTGGAGCCTGATCAGATTGCATGCTCGCCTCTCAACAGAGACGGGTTCGGATTGTCGGGGCCCGACATCCACGAACTTGTGGAGAAGGTGGCTCAGGTGGGATGGAATGACGGTGAGGCCAGAGGCATATGCCTGGAGTTGGCTCCGCACGACCAGCAGGTCATTGCCTTCAATAAGAAACTGTGTGAGGACAGTGGTGGCCTCATACCGCCAATCAATGAGATCTCAATGCGCTACGCCTCGCTGGCTGGGTCGCACACGAATGCGATGTTGCGAGCCTTGCGACATGAGGCCCTGCACCCGCAGAGTGGCCCGCTCTGCGTCGATGGCCATCTGAGCCTGGCCAGAGTGGAGGCCATTGACGCAGGCTTTGCAGAGGCGGCTCGTTGTGGGATGAGATGGAAGGTGATTAGTTTGGAGGTGATGTGCGTGAGTGGCGTGAGCGAGTTGGTGCAGTCGGCGTGCAACACTGGCAGTCAGCTTGCGAAGGGGGAGCACGAATTTCAGATGCTCAAGCGGATCTTGTCCATGATCCAGGTGAACCAGAATGCTGAGTGGGACAAAGTCAAGCTTCGGATCTTGGCCTCGAAGCCCATGTGTGCCAGCGCGTGCCCGTATATGTTCACCTTCCTGATGCGCTTCTACCAGGCTGACCTCTTTGCCAGGGCCGAAGAAAGGGTCAAGCGAAGCTTGCGTACGGGGCAGCTGGGCTCTGACTTCTACGCTGCCTTGAGTGGCAACTGCAAGGACCAGTCGCAGCAGCACATGCACTTCCGCTACGCGGTGTTCTCTCAGGCGTATGCCTCGGAGAAGAAGATGATCGCCGCAGCAGATGTGAAGCGAATGCTTGTGGCTCAAGATCTGCAGCCAGGCATCCTGAAGGCCCAGGACCTGATGCAAAAGATGCGGCCGCTGGTTCGTGAGGCCGGCTTGCAAGCGCTCGAGGCGCGGGACAAGTTTGAAGACACTCTGGTCTTGATTGCTTTGCAGAAGGTCAAAGGCCTGGACATGTCCGAGGCTTGCAGCAAACTTGTGGACGAGGTGCAAGCTTTGACTGGCAAAAGGATTTGTGAGGAGTACGGCCAGCGCAGAGAGAGCTCTTCCGGCTCTTCCAAGGCCGAACAGTGTGCGCAGCACACCGAGCACCTTGCTACACTATACTCCGGGCTGTTTTGTTTTCCGCAAAAGTCGTCCTCATTTCTCCAAATTTCCGGGGTTATATGCAACCCTTAAACTGCTATCTCCTGCCAAGGCAAAGGGCTTACGACTCTGAGGGCGAGCTGCGAGATCAGTCTGTCCTTTTGAAGGAGAAAGGCTTCCAGGTGGGCTCCTACGTGGTCCGCAAGAAGGACAAAGCCCGCGGCCAGATCCGCTCTATGGAGAGCTCGGTTGTTGTGCTGACCATTGAGACAGAGTCCATCAGCGGTGTGTGCAAGGTGGCAGTGGCCAGCTTTTTGAGGGGGGACTGGAAGATCGTCAAGAAGCCCGCAGAGTCCCTCGAGTTCAGTTGGCCAGTGTACAAGGATTTTGCAGGGACCAACTCTAACCTGTTGCAGCTCATGGGAGTCCGCGGTCGCGTGGCGCAGGCCGTGCTGCAGGCAGGCAGAAAGTTTGAGCACACCATGGAGGGCTTGAAGCTTCAAGTGAAGCCGATGAGGAATGTCGTGTGCCAGCAATCTTTCCCAAAAGGGAAAATGGTTTTGGCTCCAAGCAGTCACAAGTTGGAGACCAAGCCTGGCGGCTTGCCTCTCGGTAAGATTGACGGAGTGCAGCTCTTTATCCACTCTTCCTTTTCCCCACCAGGGAAGGACGGCAGCCTTGACCGCTCGGTGCTCTGTCCCTTCTTCATGGTGCGCAAGACTGACCAGGAGGAAGAGGCCAACTGTGTCATCTCCCCGATGTTTGGCGATGGCGAGGACAACTCTGCAGTGAAGATCCCCCTTATGATCAACCAAAGGGCCTTATCCGCTGGCGAAAGCCTCCTGCTTTTCTCGCCCAAGCCGGAAGAGTCTGAGCCTGAGGAGCTGAAGGTGGAGCCGCCTGCCCCAGAGCAAAGGCAGCGGAAGCGCCAGAAGAGCGCTCCTTGATCCGGCCGAGAAGAACTTGCGTGTCACGAAGCAACTTTAGAAAACTCCATTGTGGCTGTTTGTTTGCTTCATGATGTTTTTCTTCTCATCATGCCGGCCTCCATGCGTGGAGCCTAGAGTGTTGGATGGAATATTTTTTGATGTGGCACTGACGTCGCGCCAAGCTTGGAAACGCGCGGACAATTTGTCGTTGCCCGCTTGCAACTTGAGTGTGAGGCAGCGCATGTTGAATTTGGCGCGCGTTCAAGGAAGCGGCTGCAGGGCTTCTCATTCAAGCTCGTAGCCTGTGTGCAGGGCCCTGTTATATAGTGGCTCGCATTGCAGTGTGTGAATGTCCGCACGCGGTTCAAGCCCATCGGATGGAGACTCTGGCGATGAGCAGGCTGCCGTGAAGATCGAGCAGAAATGGGTTGTGACGAGCAGCGGCGAAAGGGCGTGGCTGCCAACCACCGTGGAGAAGGCTGGGGCGCCCTTCGTCAGGCTTTCCAAATTTGACCGCGGCTTCGTGAAGTTCTGTCTGAACAAGACCATGAGTTCTACCTCAAAGAAGGGCGACGGCCACAGGAACGCAAATGTTCCGCACTTTGATGCCTTGCTGAGCTTGCGCAAGGAAGCAAGCATCCAAGCAGCATCGGCAGCCCTTGAAATGGAAGACTCGCTGCCAGAAGAATCCAAGGCAATGAAGCGCAAGAAGCGCAAAGTCAGAGAGGAGGATGCGCACCTGGTCAGCCCGATCGTGACGATCCAGACCCCGCAGCTGGAGTGGAAGGGTGTCACTCACGTGTCAAGGCCAATGCGGGTCTTGTGGGGGCTCACGTCCAAGAACCTCTGGGTTGAGCTGACTAAGGAGAACATGACCTTCATGAAGAACATGGCTGCGTCAGGGCAGACGCAGTTGAAGCCACGGAAGCGCGCTTCGCCCAAGAAGAAAACGACCAGGCTGCGCAAGGGCCAAGAGGTGGATTCTGGTGATCTTCCTGAACCCCCAGCCAGTGATGTTGAAAATTGAGCCAGGTTTGTGCAGCGTGAGCCGAGTGCGTTTTTTGAGTGGTGAGGCACGGGCGGCTGCAACGATCGTGAGTCGGTTGATCAACAAAGCAGCGTGCTTCTGCTATTTTAGGTGGAGAGTTTCTGTGTTTTCATTCCTGCATTGGTGTGCGCTTCCAGCTTGGCAGTTTTGCTGGAAACAGTTCAAAGCGAGCTTTTAGAAAAGCCCTGCTGGAGGCGAGCTATTTGAAACCCTGCCATGATTTTGGCAATTTGAAGCTAAGGCGCATGTGAAACCTAAAAAGGGGTTAGACAAAGACACGTTTTGTTTGACCACCCTTTTTGACCCCACGCCAAAGTGGCCCGAGGCTGAAAGCAACGCCAGACATGTCTGAAAGTCATTGCCAACCTGCAAACGGTTTGCATCGTGAGTTTGGATTTGTCCTGTGCTTTGTGGCTCGCAGGGGCGCAGCACCATGCGTGTTCATGTTTTCACATAGTGGCAGTGGTTGCATTGGTTTTGTTAGTTTAGCAATTCCAGTAACGCATGCTGCAGGAACTCCATTCACACAGCATCCCGATTGGGCACACCTCACTCCACTGCTTAGGGTTTGGGCTCAACCTCAACTTTCACTGTCATTTGAACCTAGTGTTTGATAAGGAAGACCCCAAAACTTTGTGTGGTTGCAGTTCGAAGAAAAACAACATGTCACCGTACGGATTAAGGCAGCGCAAACCAAATGGCTATAGACATGACAGTAAGGTTTGATTGCAACATGGACATGCTCCCAACCAACCTCAACACTCTTGTTCTCATCAGGTTTCGCTTCAGTTTTTGGAAACCAACCAGGTGTTTGTTTTTTTTTCAACTGGCCGAATCCGGCATCGTGCGCACATGGATGTGCCTGCTCAAGAAGATGAACGCCACTGGACCCCGGGCGAGCTGCTGAAGCGGCTGGTTTTGGATCCGAAGGAGGAGGACCGGCCATTTGATGCATGCAGTCATGTTCACATTAGGGTTTGGGGTGCTGCTTACATAAGAACATGTTCAGTTTAGGGTTTGGGGGTGCTTCTCACACAAGAACATGCAATTGCAGTGCGCTGCTGGAGGAGCTGAAGCAGGAGGCGGAGCAGGATTGCGGAGTGGAGGATGAGCTGGAACAGCCGAAGGAGGAGGCGCTCGCGGAAGAGAAGCACGCATGTGGGGATCCCGAACATGATCCTGTGAAAAAGAAGAAAAAGAAGAAGAAGAAAAAAAAGAAAGAAGATGATGAAGATGATGTCGACGTTGAACATTTGTTGCAGCTTGTTGAGGAAGCGGAGCTCGTGCGCATGGAGGAGGAGGAAGAGGATGAGCTCATGCAGGATTCGGAGCACGAGCCGCAGGTGGAGCACGAGCCGCAGGTGGAGCTCAATGAGCCGCAGGTGGAGCTCAAGGAGCCGCAGGTGGAGCTCAATGAGCCGCAGGTGGAGCTCAATGAGCCGCAGGTGGAGCTCAAGGAGCCGCAGGTGGGGCTCAAGGAGCCGCAGGTGGAGCTCAAGGAGCCGCACAATTCCAAGGAGCCGCAGGTGGAGCTCAATGAGCCGCAGGTGGAGCCCAAGCCGGAGCCGGGAGTTCGCCCCACTGCAAGCGCGGAGTACATGGGCAGAGCCAGGCCCGCCACGGTCTTCACCCAGCAGCACGCTGGCCGCGCTGGAGATCCGGAGCCTGGCCATGGCAAGGGATGGCATGGCAGTCGAGACCGATCGCGGTCCTATGGCAAGCTGGGCGCAAGTGCGGCCAGCGGATATGGCAGCGGAGATGGCAAGGCCGGCAGCAAGGCCGGCGACAGCAAGGCCGGCAGAGACGGCAAGGCTGGCAAGGCCAAAGACAAGGCTGGCAAGGCCAGCAAAGATGGCAAGGCTGGCAAGGGCGGAAAGCACGCCCAGGATGGCAAGGACGGCAAGCGCGGCAAGGACGACAAGCGCGGCAAGGACAGCCGGGATGGCAAGGATGGCAAGGATGGCAAGCGTGGCAAGGACGGCCACGGTGGCAAGGACGGCAAGCGTGGCAAGGACGGCGGCAAGGACGGCGGCAAGGACGGCATCAAGCAGGAGCTCAAGGGTGGCAAGGCTCCAAAGCCGTGGTGGGCATCATCAAAGCCGAACCAGGGCGAGAGGGGAAGCATGGAGGGCAAGACCGACAGGTGGGGTGGTCGCTACGTGCCTGGCGGCTACGAGACTGCCGATGGGCAGTTCTTTCCGCTACTTGGCATGTCTCGGTCTTGTTGGCTGAGTATTTGAGGAGTGTTTCTTTTGGCTGCATGTGCGAGCGAGCCGTCATGGCCCTGCTGATGCGAGTTTCAAAGAAACCCTGCATGTTGATTTGCAAAGCTTTGGTTTGGAACCTTGCGCTGTTTCCGTCTTGCCCAGGTTTGGCTACGGACGCTCCAGGGCCCGCTCGCGCGGTGGCAGCAGCAACGTGGAGATGGTGAGGTGGCAGGCGGTGAGGGACCTGGCGGCGGTGGCCAAAGCGAGCATGGGCAGCAGAGTGAGAGATGCGTAGGCTAGGTTGCGCCAGTCGTGGAGCTTGACAAGAACACATGAAACCTCGCACATGCGCGTGCATGCTTCAGGCTCCACGCCACGCACAGGCGAGTCACTTAGAAACTGCGGCAGGATTCACGGCCACAGCCAACATGGACATGTCCAGTCAATCACGAGCACGACTCCAGCCGGCAGATCCGTCACAACAAAGGGCGCGCAGGGCATCACTTGTTCCAAACCCCTAACACACACCTCAATTGTTGTTCAACAAATTTCCACATGTTGGGTTTCTCAGAATTTGTTGTTCAACAAATTTCCACATGTCGGGTTTCTCAGAATTTGTTGATCAACAAATAAAAACGCCAAATATTTGTTGAACGACAAAACAAACACTACCATATTTATTGAACAACAAATTCCAGGATAGTGCCTAGTCCAAGATTTGTCGTTCAACAAATTTTTGAGACACCATGTTTGAGAGTTGTTGTTTTTTTGGCTACCCTGTATGCCCATCCCCTAAGTGCACGGTTTCACCCTCGACTGGAATTCACCTCCGTCCGCGGACGTTAAAAGCATTTGCCTGCTGAGTGAGGTTCTGGCCAGGGTGTGTGTGTGTGTGTGCGCAGTGCTTGACATGTCACGTCGAACTTGTTTGTGTGGCGGCAGATCCTGACTGGAACATGTTTAACCTGTACTGGATTGTGGAGCGAGCTGAAGAGAATGCGTTTGAGGGAGGATTTCCCCCACACACACATGCAATTGGTTCAACTAAGGGTTGCTTGAATCAATTAATGGGTGGAAATGAGTTTGAGGCAGGTGACAGGAGTTAAAGGGCCCACAGGTGTGGCAAGGAAGTTTGAAAATAAGGGCGTCACAATTTGGGGTCCAACACTGGCATCCTGAGAGGCCCGAGTTTAACTTTGGTGCTCAGCTGGGGAACACCATTTTGGTAGTGTGCACAAACCATGTTGGTGCTCAGCTGGGAGTGCGTTGCATTGGGCATGTCTTGGATGTGTTTGAGCTGTGTTTTCAGTGAAGCGAGCCACGCGCAGGCGAGCTTCTGAAAAGCCCTGCCTTTTGTAGCGAGCTGTTGCAGCCCTGCTTGAGTTTGGCGTCTCACATTGCTTGCATCAGGTTGAGTTGGTAATCGTTTGCAATCGAATTTGGAGTGTCCAATCAATCGCACGCACGTGGTGTACAGTCGGCCATTGGCCCGACATCACGTTCTGGAAAGGGTTCATGTGCTTGACATGAACCAATGCAGGGCGTTGTGAGCGCTCGCTGTGTGCATTTTGAAGCAGGGCCTTGCCACAGAGGCTCGCTCAGTGACCCTTCACCTTTGTGTATCGGTGTGCCGCCATGGAGAGCTGGCAGTTTAAGACCGACCTGTCAGAGGACGAGGCCAACTGGGAGAACCAGACGCTGTCTGATTGGCTGCTGCTTGGGCCTGCTGCCTCGCGGCGGTGCAGCCTAGCCTTCGTGGGAGAGAAGTTCTACCTCACCACGTCCCCCTGCGTGGCCTTCAAGTGGCAGGTGATGAACGTGGACGACAGTGGCGTCATCCTGAAGCGCCCCAGCAAGACCGGCAAGGACACCTATGTATACATGATGACCGCGCCGGTGCAGAAGGTGAGCATGAAGCTGTCTTGCCGGGAGACCAATGCGGGCATCCATGTCTCTGCAGTTGGCCTCGACCCATATGGTGACTGCGGCTTTGAGAGCACGTTTATCAGGCCCATCACCGTCTCGACTCTGCTGGTGCACATTCTGAGTGACATGACGGGAAAGCCTGAGTGGTGGACCGACCAGGACGAGATCATCTGTTTGGACTCTAATGGTGTGCAGACACGTTCAAGCACTTCAATTGAGCAGTTGGCAAGGGCCAAAGAGCCGGCCATGAAAAGGCCTGCAAAAGCGCCACCAAGGGTTGCGAAGTGCCCGGCTAGCAGGCGCTAGGCTCAGCGGCTGCGCCCACGTGGATACAGGGCCCAAAATGTTCTGACGACCCATTGACTTATTCGGCAGCAAGGTCAGGCGTTGGCCGCTGGGGCAGTTGAGACAAGAGCTGCCATGTTTTTTGATAGCGCAAGGAAAAGCGTGCCACACGGACATCGTGCTTCAGTTTGTTCATGACACACTTAATGTGAGTTGATGCAGTCCTAGCGTTGTGCCCGAAGTCTGGCGCCTGACCTGCATGGTCAGGGAGATGCTGGACGCGGAGCTCCAGGCCGAACGTCATCTTGTCGTTGCTTGCTTCTATAGAATAGGGCTGAGCGTCGCCTGCCACACAGGTGTGCTTGCGCAGAGCAATTCAGCTCAGGCTCAGGCATTGGCGTTTGGGGGGAACTGTCCACCTCATGGATGTGGATGAGGCTGTTAAGGGCCTCAAGGCCGCCACGGCCTACCTTGACAGGACACGGGGCCTGCTTTCGAATGACACTTTCAAAGATGTGGCAATTCAGCAAGCCAAACAGTGGCGACAGCGGATCGCCCGCA